TGCCCAAATCCTATGCTATTACCTTAAATTATTCGGAAATTTATGACTGCAATCACTCGTACTTTAGGATATTTGTAACCACTGATGTCCTCTACATGTACAAAGAATTTGGGAATGATCGTTGTTCGGAAAATAATCCCACAATTTGACTAGTCAGCCAAACGTGCAATAATTAACGTAGAACAATAAAACCCACTAGATGTTATGTGGGGTTGCCGGGCAAGTAAAGGGTGAATGCACTGATTAATAATTAACACATGTCTTTATTATTTCTATTTATTTGAATTGATTTACAAAATGGTGAATTACAGACGAACTTTATATTTCTTGATAATCTTGTGGTGTTGAAATATATTTACTATGAATGAAGCAGGTTATAATCTATTGAATATTATCGCTAAGAGGTTATCATGATTGTAGTGCTCTGATCGAACACTGGAATGCCATTGTGTTTATCTTAACACGTGTGTAGTTGCCTTTAAATATCGGTCGTAAGAGAGCCGAGATGGAGGTTATGCGAAGCTGTGCGCCATCTGTGGCTGGAACAACTTGCAGTTGGAGGGATTGAGAAGCCAATGTGGCGTTTATAGCTGGTCTTGTTCAAGAGTATGTCCGGGAAGCTTCCGTAGTTGGACTTTATCCGTCCGTCTTCTACATAAGCCGAGAAATCAAGAATGAGTACTAGCTGTAAGGACTTACTTGCAGTGTATCGTGATTTTCCAGTCTCTCTTCGATGGCTTGTTATTACGTTCCCTTGCAATGTTGCAACTCTTCAGTTCTTCCTTGTCTCCAAGTGAGACCACAAGTGGTCAGGTCCCACGCAATCCAGTCTTGATGAGATCAATTCAACTGTACACTAATTCACAATAGTGGAAAGAACTTATTATTAAAACTCAGCTAGCTAAACGACTTATCTCTCCGGTCCTCATCCGTGAGAATAGGTCGTGACTTATCCTTCAACTGTGAGTAGTATTAGGAAAGAGTAAGTCGTGACTTATCCTTATACTGTAAGAAGTATTTGGAAAGAGTAAGTGAAGGTACATTACGTAGTCCTTTCTTAAATGGTTCACTGATCCCGTTCCACTTGGGATCCCTTCTTCCTTTATTAATTAACCAATCAGAGGTTGATCTTGGGTCGTACAATAGATTATGCACGCCTTCATTTCCACTTCCTTCCGGGCTCAGTTCCGAATTTGCTAATTGGGAAAGTGTCGGAAGGTGGCGAGCCTTTTCCATTGGTCACCTCTCTTTGGTTGCCTCATCCCTCTCTGGGACTTGGCTAGAAGAAGGGTCCGCTTGGGCGTGGTCAATTTTCCAATACGATCGACCAGATGTGGCATAGCCAAGAACAATGCAAGCATTGTCTTAAAGGCCGAGTGCGCACGTATGGTCATTGCATGTTGTTGCACGTACGGGTTTTGGGTTGCAGTAAATATTTGTACTCAATGCTTTACGCATATCTGATATTCCTTCTGAATCTACTTTGGGGTTCTCCCGGCAGTAAACCCATTAGATTCTACTGCACTGGGAGTTTGATCACGTTCCGATAGAGTTTGCCAGATGTTTTATGACACTAGTAAAAATAATTATGAGCAGGAAAGTTTTGAAGTCTTAAATACAATTTTCATGATATTACTTGTCAGATATTTTATTGCCTTACTAAACGGAGTCTCTCATTCTCAAACACATATACTTATAAATATTACAATCAATTAATTTTTCATGATTTGCTAATAACTATATAATGCATTTTTCATGTAAAACTCATCGTTCTAGTAATTAAATCTCAGAAATACGCTAATTGCTTTAGAATGATATTCGGTTATATTGTAAAAAAATTTTATTTATGAAATATAGCCATAAAAATCAATTTTTTCCTATGATTTGGCCAAACATAATAAAATATCACGGGCGAAGAGGCATTATAAAAAATTGCGCCTGTTTGCTAATTTTTAATTTATAGTGTTTCTTCTTAATTTTTATAATAGTATGACTGTTTCAGAATAATCCTTGGCTTGTAATGATACAAATTTTTTCCATATTGAAAATAATTTCTATAATTTTCAAATTGCAATTAATATTACATCTTTGTTTCTGAATAACTTTTTACTTGTAACCATATAATTTTATTTTCTTGTTATTTGCACTAATTTTAATATTAAAAAAAAATACGTTTGTCTGGAATTCCAGCCACCAGAATGGTCCGAAGTCCAAGGTAGTTGGATTAGACCGTACCTCCGGTTTAATGGCGGAAAAGGAGGGGGGATAAGTAAGAGGTTAATGCATCAATTCAGCGTAAACACAATTGGTTGTAGTGATTTTTATTTAAGATTATGTTACATAGGTTCTTGTTACCGGTCTTTGTGAGAATTGTTGAATTCGTCGTGAATTTAACAGTTGGCAGTAACTGTAGAACGTCGTCCGGGTGTGCAAAAGCAAGACTGATCTGTATGTACTATTAGCAATATGTTTTGTGGGGAATGTCGAATATATTCATCGCCCTCTTTCGCCATCTGAAAGATCAGCATCAAGCAGCAGACGGCTAACCGATGATAACGCAATACCGAGGTTTGGCGCCCTTTTCCGCCGTCTGCAAAATCAGAATCAAGCAGCAAAAGGCTAACCGATAATGTTGGCGCAATGACGAAATAACAGTAATGATAAATGGCTTGCTGGTGATGCCAGACTATGTCATCGCCCTCAATCCGGTCTAACTAGAGTCAAATTGCGGAGGGCACACCGATAAATAATAAGTAATGTAAACAAATGAGTATACCTTGCACGGATTGCCGTAGACAGACGTGCAGAACTTTAACTGTTATGACTTCAACTATTTCTCTTAGACTTACTCAATAATAATGATTTTCTTCGTCGTCTGTTGCTCCTTATATATGATTTCGTACATTAAGAGTTTGTAATTTTTGGAAATTCTGTCAAATTCTCGGAAAGCAAGCTTTAGTAGGTTCGCGAATCTTCCTTTGTCGCAATGCGGATACGGTATAAGACTTTAAATACATCGAGAATTTTCGTAGCACATACTTCAAATATTACGCATTATAATAAATTTAAATATAATGGAACCATATATTAGTCAAATAAATAAATTCTCATTGTTGGGTGCTTCAATCCTGAACAACGTTGATTATCATGAATTAAAACAGCAAATTAATCAAGATCAATTGAAAACGGCTTATAATAATGTTCATTTTTTGTTATTAATGAAATTATTAACTCATTTTTATAAAATAGTGCCTACATTGAGTTTTCGATTTTTTAAATTTTGCATGCGAAATTATGAAAATAAATTAAATCCTATTCGATATTATATGGTATTTATTTTATATAATGAAAAGGTATTGTTGTTATATATTATAGATGAATGCCAGTTAATTCATAAATTCTTTGCCTTTTTTACCAATTTCATATTTTCTAAAAATTTGTGGCCTTTTTTTTAAACTCGTAAACCAATTCATTGGTTAAACGTTTTATAACCTGTTGTTGCTTATTAACTAATTATGACATAATTTATAACAAGTCCAAAATATTTGTAAACACTTCGATAGCTGCCATTCACATTATTGTCGAACTTTATACAGTAACAATTAAATGGTATATTAAATTGTATTATACCTACATATAGTTTAAGAATTTAGTTAGAACCAACGACAACCAAAAATTTTAGAAGAACGAAATAAGCTCCCTTAAAGTATTTTAATTCACATAATAAAGCTTTAATTAGTATAATTGAATTTATTTATGCCAATACGAATTTAATTTAGTTAAGATATTCTGTACATTATCCATTTTTTTTTTTTTATTAAACTACATTTAAATAATAAATTGATAGTAAATTTTTCAAATAATATATTGATATATTGTAATATAGGAGTCACGAAGTAAAAAACCATTTAAGATATGGGACAGTTGGCGGAATATACGGAAAGGTTTAGTCGTCAGCAACTTGGAAGAATTGGTCCATAGGGGTATGCAAATTTATTTAATTTACTCCTAATTGTAATAAATGTAGGTATGACTTATTTGCATTATGCACATATATAAAAACGGTCACTGTTATCTATAAATAAAATATTTTAATATTTTCTAGGTAAATTTTTTTCGGATAAAAATTATATTTTCTGAATACTCCCGTGAAGTCCCCTTTTCCACTCACTTAATTGGATTATCGTCACTACTTATTTCCTTTTGTTCAATTAGTTTTTAAGATTCTCAGCATTTGTTCTTCTTTCAAATAACCTTATTATTTACAGATTTCACATTTACCATATTTTTTAATTTGAGTTCAAATTATGTAAATATTATTACATCTTTTTTCTTTTTTAAATTTCTGTAAATATATGTATGTGCATTTGCAGCAATTTAACTTCCTGTAAATATGTAAACAAACCATTCGCATTTGTAACATGTTCGACGACAGAATAACATCAGTTGTTCTATGAACCATTCTTTTTATTTATTCTTACATAATGTTTTAATTGAAAAAACGAACACAGCAAAATAATTATAATTAATTATTAGAGTAGTAAAAATTTTGTTGTTCATAACTTCTAGCTGGGAAAAATGATGTATAAGAATATATGTATAAGGAAATTAAATTATACGTTTTAAATTCTTTTTTATTTGTCAATGTCATACATACACACACACACACACACACACACACACACATATATATATATATTCATGTATCTCAACATGTTTTGTAATTCTACATATCTTTCACACATATATTGTGGTTTAGCGTTGACGGAGAAAGTAAAATTTTGCTTTGTTTATAAAAGTTTTACATCAACGCAAATGCAACGCAAAATCATATGTTCTGTTTGAATATTTTTGTAAAATTCTTTCATTTTTTGAATGTAATATTTTAATTTTAAGTCGTAAAATACAAAATTAATTACATACTATGATTAATTTTTATGATAAATTACAAAATATTAATCCCTATAATTATTTAAAAATTAATTTATTAAAATTGTTATTATATGATGAATTCTGGAAAATAAGAATCATTTCTAGAAGAAAACATAGAAAAAAATTTGAATTAAATAGCAAACTTAATAGTTTTCTTAGTAAAAATATAAATTTATACTTTATTACTTTAAAATACAAATTTTGTAGCTTCTATAATTTATTAGATTCATTTAATTATATAAATTTAACTATTGTATATACTTACACAATATATTTACTAGATTATAAGTAACAAGATGTAACAGAATATTTTTCTTTTAAATATTTTTATAACGTTTTATAATTATAATTATATTTTGTAACTTGCATCTTCATATTGAAATACATTTTTATTTGGTATTAATTAATTGGTCATTTGAATTTCTAATTTATTATTATTTTCATTGCAGCGTTACAAAAAATAATGATAACATATCACGAAATTGTATAAATATCTAAAATATTTGAAATATTTTTTAGATTTGAGAATTTTTCATTTTACTATATCATAATAATTCAAATCAATTCAATTTTATTAGATTCAAACTTATCAATATAAAAATAAAACATTTGTAAAGTATTCTCAAATTCTAAAGAAATAATTAAGCAACTATCTCCACATTAACGAACATGCAAATATAACATACGTTGTTTCATATTAAATGTTATTGCATTGTAGTTACTATATTTCTAGGATTATGAATAAGTTATGCAGCAGTATTCTCATCTAAAATGTAAAAGTTTTTGAAGTTCTTCAATTTAATATTTTAGTACATATATGTACAAAAACATTATAAAATTTCTACTGGTTCATTTTTTAAAATATTATTTAAATATTAATAATAGAACAAATTAAATAAATTTTATTTTATATTGACATGGTTTAAATCACTTGCATTTTTGTTATCTTTTCATTCTGATAATCTATATACAAGTTATTTGTTCATTATTTTTACCAGATTCTTTCCAAATAATTTCTCTTAGGGATTCGATTGATATTGTTTATCTAACTGTAGTCCTATGTTTAACATAAAATTTTCAGGAGTTAATTTCATTTAAGATAAACTTTATACCGTAATTATTATTTTACTTATCTATAAGTTAAATATATCTAAATCAGTAACATATTCTAATAAAATAATAGAATAAAATTTTAAATAAAATATAAATTAATCCATTTTCCGTAATAAGTAGTTTTGTAAAATGTAGAATCAGAATAATCTTTAAATTGGTAACAATTTATTTTATTACCACTCAATAGAATAGTATTCTAATAAAGTATTTACATTCAACTAAACAAAATCGTTATGAATATGGTAATAACATTCATTATTGCAACTTTTCTTTAATAGAGATGGTTGACATAATCAGAAAGCATAACGATCATTATTATTATTATTATTATTATTATTATTATTAGTAGTAGTAGTAGTAGTAGTATTAGTATTAGTAGTAGTAGTAGAAATAGTTATAGAAATAGAAATAGTAGTAGGAATAGGAGTAGGAGTAGTAGGAGTAGTAGTAGTATTAGTAGTTTTTATATTATTGCTTATATTGTGTATATTCCTACGCATTTACTCATCATGTAATCATATATATGCGTGTATACTATCATTAGAGACTACCACCTTTGTATAATGTTTTCAAATATTGTAAAAATATATTGTAAAAAATATATTATTAAAAATACTGTTAAATCGTAATATTTTTACGTATTTCTTACTACGTATTTCTTTTTACGTATTTCTTTACTAACAAATTCTTAAAAATCGTATATGTTAAAAATTGCAATTTATGTTTAAGTTTCATTATTGTCATAGAGAGAAAATAAGATACAAAAGTATATTTTGTGTTAACATCTTTTGGGTTCATGATGCATTTAAATTGCAATTTAAATTTCAGCAATTTAAAAAAATATATTACGACTATTGGCTAATTAATTAAATATACTTTCTATCTAACGTCCTATAATGTTATTACGCTCTAACTATAATTTTTCAATCGCAATCATGTTTTTATTAAAATAGATTTTGCATTAATCAATACTGTCTGTTCGGAAAATAATTCCACAATTTAACTCGTCAGCCAAACGTGCAATAATTAACTGAGAACAAAAAAAAACCCACTAGATGTTGTGTGGGGTTACCGGGCAAGTAATGGGTGAATGCACTGATTAATAATTAACACATGTCTTTATTATTTCTGTTTATTTGAATTAATTTACAAAAGGTGAATTACAAAAGAACTTTGTATTTCTTGATAATCTTGTGGTGTTGAAATATATTAACTATGTATGAAGCAGGTTATAATCTATTGAATATTATCACTTGAGGTTATGGTTGTTGTGGTGCATTGATTGAACGCGGCACTGTTGGCGGGTTTTATTTAACACGTGTGCAGTCGCCTCTAATGTTGGTCGTAAGAGCGCCTAAATAGTGGTTATGCGAAGCTGTGCGCCACCTGTGGCGGGAACAGCTTATTGTTGGAGGGATTAATAGCCACAAGTAGCGTCTGTAGCTGGTCTTGCTCTAAAGTATGTTCGGGAAGCTTGCGTAGTTGGACATTAATTCGTCCTTCTTTACTTAAGCCGAGAAATCAAGAGTTTATACTAGCTGTAAAGACTTACTTGCAGCGTATCGTAATTTTCTTTGTCTCTCGTCGTTGGCTTGTTATTACGTTCCCTTGCAATGTGGCAACTCTAAGGCTCTTCCTGATCTCCAATCGAGATTGCAAGTGGTCAGGTCCTATGCAATCTAGTCTTGATGAGATTAATTCAACTGTACACTAATTCACAATCGTAGAAAGAACTTCTTATTAAAACTCAGCAAGCTGAAGCGACTTGTCTCTCCGGTCCTCCTCCGTGAGAGTACGTCGTGACTTATCCAGTACTGTAAGAAGTATTCGGAAAGAGTAAGTGTTCGTATTGGTGCATTACATTTTTCTATCTTAAACGCTTCACTGGTCCCACTCCGCTAGGAACTCCTTCTTCTATTAATTAACCAATCAGAGGTCGTTCTTAGGCAGCACAATAGATTATGCACGCCTTCATCTCCACTTCCTTCCGAGTTCATTTCCGAATATGCTAATCAGAGAAGTGTCGGAAGTGGGATGTTTTTGCTATTGGTCATCTCTTCTTGATCGCTTCTCCCTTCTCTGGAACTTGGCTAGATGAAGGGTCCTCTTGGGCGTGGTCATTTTCGGAGGCGACCGACCAGATGTGATTCAGACAGAAAACAATGCAAGTGTTGTCTTAATGAGTGTAAGCGGACGTGCGATTAATACAAGTCGTCGCACGTTCGCGATTTTTGGGTTGCAATGAATTTAAGAAATGTTTTGTACTCGATATTTCATGTATCGAGTGAAATTCGTTCGGGATCTACTCAAGGGTTTTTCCCATCAATAAAACCTATTTTTTTCACTGCTCTGTAAAGCAAAGGCACGTTCCACTGGAGTTTTCCAGATGTTTTATGACACTAGTACAAATAATTATGAGCAGAAGTTTTGAATCCTAATGTGAATTTTACGATGTCGCTTGCCAGATGTTTTATTGCATTTTAAGCGTTCTCGCATTCTCAAACATTGTCAGTTCTACTTTACCTTTTTCTTTATTTGAAATATCTATTTTTATATAATGTTCGAGAATGTAAGAAAACTCCCAGCTCATTAAACATCTGGAAAATTCGAAATAAGAGTTCCGAAAAAAGCGAACTCTCAACTACTCGATAAATAAACATTCAAATACGCCTCGGATTAACTAAATCTAAACAATTCAGCAAATACAATTAATAAACACATCTGGCGAGAACAAAGGTCCAAGTGTCCAGCAAAATACGTCATAAAACTAATGCTATGAGACATTTGACACGGCTTCGCCACAAAGCATCTATCAAGAAAGGCAATCATGCCCAACCAAAACTAACTCAACAAAAAGAAGAACAGTAAAGGCCCATCAATCATCGATCAAAGCAAACTTCGACCAAAAACAAGTAGATAATAATCTAAGTGACATCTA